GTATGTAATTTCAGTTGAGATTTGCAAAACTCTCTTGTTTAGTGTTGATAGTTAGATCGCTAGAGGATTTTATCTTTAGGCCTTTCGATTCGATACTGTCAGAATCCCAACGACTAGAGCATTGGGATAAAAGGGCTTGTTAAGTAGCGGGTCAGTAGGCCCATAACCCCTCAGGCCAACGTGCCTATAACCCTTCCCTAGGATCAATCAGGGATCACCAGTGGACCCTTGACACTCCCCCGCACTGGGATGCTCGAAGTGCATACCCCGGGATACGAACCCGAGACCTTCGCTCTGATACCATGTCAGAATCCCAACCACTAGACCATTGGGATAAAAGGGCTTGTTAAGTAGCGGGTCAGTGCGCCCATAACCCCCTAGGCCAACGTGCCTGTAACCCTTCCCTAGGATCAATCAGGGATCACCAGTGGACCTTTGACAGATACTGAAGCCTACACCACTACACTAAACATTTTTTCGATTGACGAAAGACATACCTACCTAGGGTTTTGTAAATTCTTTTCCGCTTGGTGTCATACTGTTTCAACTTCTCCAGGCTGCTCCAATGACTCTTCCGACTCCTGTTTTCAGCTACTACTACCTAGGTGAGCCTTAAGGACTAGTTCTAGACTTAAGATGATAGTAGATACATCTGTCTTAACCGTTATCATTTGTTTCAGTCGTTTAGACTTAGCAACTAGCCATTTTACTGTCGGATTAATCCATTTCGATTACCACCCAGGTCGTTCTTTCTTTACAGCCTGCAATGCCAGTTTCTCGTCTCACTTTCACAACTTCTAGAATTGCTGCATTATTCCTTTATCCATTTGGTTTCTAGTTCCAATCTATGCTCACATTTCATTTTCTCAATTCTTTGGCGCTTCGTAAATGCTTTAGCTATCTTTTGTAGAAAAACCTGCACCTGGTTCTTTGTTCTTCATCATGAGTTCTGTTCGTTTAGTGCATAATTCATTCCTCGTTTTTGCACATTTCTCTTCCACCTTTTGCTTTTCTTCGGTTTAGAACCATCATATCCTCCTAACTGTCATATTTTGAATACTACATAGGTTCTTTTGAAACCGTGGTTATGAAATCTCTCTCTCTCTCTCTCTCTCTCTCTCTCTCTCTCTCTCTCTCTCTCTCTCTCTCTCTCTCTCTCTCTCTCTCTCTCTCTCTCTCTCTCTCTCTCTCTCTCTCTCTCTCTCTCTCTCTCTCTCTCTCTCTCTCTCTCTCTTTCTCTCTCAAGCGGTCCTTCATTAATATTATATAGGGGTACAGGCCATACATGATAAAACAGCAAAGCTATCCTCTAGCCTTCCGCTCCCAACGCAGTCAGATACTAGTATGACCTCGAGGCACGCCTACCAGTGGGAGAGAACCGCCTACTGCCATGGCCACCCCCTCTGTCCCGCCCCTCACACGTCTAGGGGCGGGCCCCAGTCCAAGTCATCCTCAATGACTTGGCACAGGTCCCCCAGGCGGGGCTCCCATGGGTCAGCCGCCGCCTGGGGGTAGGCACCCTCTGCAGCCCGGTTAGACTTGGCCAGGAAAGTGTTTGCCTGGCTCCTCTGCAGCGCTACCGACCATCGCTGGCGATAGTGCGCCGTAAGTTTGGAGGCTACCGTGGTAAGCCTCCCTTGCCTAAACTTCTTTTTAGCCGCCTGCCTGCCCAAGAGCCGGAGAAACCGTTGGGTGTCGCGTGCCAGGGCCCCGTACGTTTCCACCGCCAGCCCAAACACCCCCACGTAATCCGGCCGCCCCTCATATAATCCCCTCTTCCCTCTCGCCGCATCCTCCACTGCCCAACACGGCGGTTTTACCGCCCTCGTGTCCCGGCGCTGTAGGGCCGGGTCGGTCACCGTGACATCCGTCACATACGTCTCGGCGGACTCCCTGTCCTTGATGGCCATGTCCACTAGCTTGGGGTTGATAGGTTGCGAGTAGACCGTGGTCTCATACCAGGTAAGGTAGTCCGCCCCCCTGGCCATGCGGAGCGCTGCAAACACGAGGTTGTTGTGCGTGTTTGTCCTCTCCTTCCCCTCCCCGCACCGCAGCAGGTGGTTCGGCAAGCTCAGGTCCCCTATCTCTCCCCTTAGCACGGGCAGTTCTCCGTCATCGGCAGCGTCAGTCCCAGGCGGAATCCTAGGGCCAATGCAAACTGGCCCGGCGAAAACGTAAGATCTGCCCGCGTAGGGATTGCATGGAGCCAGTCCCCCGCGCCTACCCCCTGCAGGCTAATCAACCGGACCACATGCCCGTTGTCCTCCCCCGGCTTGTCCATCCGTGTGTCGCCCACCAGCTCCGCAGCCCGGTTCAGGTTTATGTGGCGCGACAGCTGCTCCTGTAGGCGACCCCGTCCTCCCCTGCTGTCTCCCGGCTCTCCTAGCAGTGAGCGTGCTTCCTCTGGGAGTCTGGTCCGCATGTCTCGAATTGCCTCTCCTCCCCTCCCTGCCACTCCGTCCCCAAGTGGTGACACCAGCGTCGCCACCTGCGATAGCTGGCCGTTCGACGAGGGCGGTATTTGCTGCAGCAGCAGCTGTGCTACCCTTAGCGATGCGAGGTATGCCGCGGGCGCCTCCGACAGCGGGTCTATCAGCCCCACACCGCCCAACGCGATGGGTAGTGTCGCCTGCCTCCACAACAGGCTTTGTTCCAGCTCCTTTGAATGTACGTTGATGTTGGCCGCCCTTAGTGCCGTCCACAGCAGCCTTTCGCTCCACCCCCTCCATTCTCGGACGGGGAGGACGTCCACCGGCGTTGTGCGCAGAAGGTAGCTGATCCTGCGCGAGATGCATTGCGACAGGAGCAGCATCGCGTGTTGTGGGTGCAGCTTGCTGACTAGGCTAAGCGGAAGGGCTATACGCTCGAGCGATGCTCTCAGCGTGCGTCTGCAGTACGCTTCCGTGCCTATCGGGCACCCGAGGACCTTCACCCCGTCCACCACTGCCGCCAATCCGTCCGGTAAGTCTGTCGTGTTTCCCGTGGGGCTCCAAGGTGATGACTTAGCGATATTGCACCGCAGCCCCAGTCCAGCAAGCCCCTGCAGGATCATAGTAAATGCCCTTGTCGCGGCCGGCTGCCCGATGACAGTGATGTCATCTGCGTATGCCATCACTGTCACGCCTGGGACTGCTACCGCCGCCTCCAGCAGGGTCGATTGTATGGCTGCCGCGAACAGCATGGGGCCGAGCGGGTCTCCTTGCCTAACGCCACGGGCGCTGTCGATGGAGCCGACGGTGAAGCCTTTGTCCAGAAATAGCTTCGACGACGCACTGTAGAGAGTTCTTACAAGTGGTAGTAGCGAGCTTAGTCCGGCGGTCCATAGCAGTGTCGTCAGGAAGCTCCCACGTTCGACCGAGTTGAAAGCATTTTCAATGTCCAGCTGTAATATTGTTCGTGTCGGGTCCTCTGCCAGTAGCGTATAGGCCGTGTGTATTATGCACTCCGCTCCACCCGGTACGGCCACCTCGTATTGTACTGGTAAGAAATGTGACCGGATCTCCCCGGACAGTTCCCGTAGTGCTGCCTTTTCTGTTAGCCTAAGGATCGCCTCCCCAATTGCTATCGGCCTCACTCCGCCGTCCGGTTTTTCCAGGGCGATTAACCTCGACGGTAGCAGCACCTCCCTTAGCGGCGCGCTCAGGTATGTGCTTAGTAGGTTATTGACCACTTGGTGCAGCAGGAAGAATACTTCTACGTTTGTTAGGGCAGGGTCGCGTAGGTGTTCGAAGCAAGTGCCTGATGGGCCTGCGCCTATTCCATTTGGGCACTTCGCCAAGATGTCGCGGAACGAATCTGTGCCAATGGCGAGTGCTGTTTCACCGTAACCCCCCAGCCCTTCAGGTGTCGCCACCTACACTCGCGGGTGTTTCGCCTGGAGTGTTTCCAGTGCCTGTTGCGACGGCTCTGCCAACGGGGTGATTTGTAACGCTGCTGCAGCCTTCGCCAGGTTGGCCTTCCGGACCAACCCCTCTACTTTCGCGCAGATGACCTCTGCGTCTGGCTCGTGTCTGCTTGGTTGGGAATTGTCTGGGATGGTGCAGGCTTGGAGGTACAGCGAGCCCCAATCCTCCTCTCGGAATTGTCGAAGTCTCTTCTCCACTGTGTCGAGGCTGTTTCCCGGCACTTTCTCCGTATTCGCCCTCAGTGTAAGCCGTGGTAGGAATTGCGGCACCCTCCACGCGCCCATGCAGCTCGGGTGTTTCAAGAGTCGCAGGAGGGGGATCGTCAGGCAGTGACTGTATGATTTCAGGATTTCCGGGGGAAGCTTCCTGACCAGGAATGGTTGGGAGCTGGCCCGCAGTGGGTCCAGGTCCCAACCCTCGATCGTCCGTCATGTGTCATCATCCTCCGCAATGTCCTTTGGAGAGCGCTCCTTGCTGGCAGATTCATTCGACCGCTGAGCTGGTGATTCGCCCACCTGACCCTTCCCCTTCTGGATTATTTCCCTCTTGTCCTCGGCGTTCGCCACGTCGGCATCTCCCCTCATTGCCAGCAGGGATGCCATCCTCGGCCTCCACACACACCTCTTCTGATTCGGCCTCTTCCTCCTCCATATATTCCGACTCTTCTTCCTCTGCCGGGTCATTCATTGGTCGTTCACTCTGCTCCTCTGGCCTCCCGTGCCTTTCCCGCCATTTTCCCGATCTGGCTTTTTCTCGTGCTACGGCTCTCGCAAGCTCGCCTACCCGTCCTCCTCTGCCCCGAACCCTCCCGTGCCCCCTCGTGGCCGTGTTTCCTGCCGCGTTTCGTGGCTGCTGACCTCTCGCCCTGTCTTCCGCCTGCTCTCGTAGGACCCTCTATCTGCTGGTTTCGTTATTCTGCCTTCGCCACGCCGTTGACAGGGTAACTGCCACCTCTTCTTCCTGGTTCTGCTCCAGTTGATCTGCTGTCTAGGCTTCCCCTTCCTCGGTTATCCTGCCCTTGCCGTCGCGCATCGGTCTGACCTCCGTGTTGCCTTTCCTCTTCTGGATCCGGCTGTGCTTGCATGTCTTGCCGCGATGATGGGCAAACGTCGCCGTCCCTCCCATCCGGACCGCGAAGTGGGCTCTGCCGCTCCCAGCCCGTCGAGGGCCCAGGTAGGGCTGGCGCCAGTCCTGCTCCGAGCCGCCACTGCGCTGGTCGAGCACGAGGGGGCCGGGACGCCACCTCGGCGCCGTGAGCCAATCTATCGTTCTCCCCACAGGCGGACTCATCCTCACCTCCGAGCCCGCGGTGGTTCGTTCCGTCGCCGCCGTCCGCCTCGCCCTGCCCCCGCCGTCCAGAGGGAGATTGTGGGCCCCCTGCTACAACCGCTGCCATCCCCCTTGCGCCTGGGTGCTCCATCCGTGCTGCCGCCGGATGTGTCGCTGCAGTCGTCGCAGCAGCTGTCGTCTGGCGTCGCTGCGCCTCCTCTACCGCTGTCGCCGGCTCCCCTGCGGTGTCGGCCCCACTCCCTGCTCCGCCGCCCTCCTCCTCTGGCACCTCCTCCATTGTCGTCGTCGGCCGGGGCACCCCTTGTGAGCCACCCGTCTTCGCCGCTTCCCTCCGCCTCTCCTCCTCCCGTCGAGCCTCCGCAGCGGCAGCATCCCCTGGTTCCGTCTGGGCCTGTTCTTGAAGCTCGCTTTCCTCCTCCTTGATGCTCCTGACCCCAAGGACGACGAGCGGCGGTGGAATGGGGAGCTGTGGGAGTCCCCCCCCCAGCCTGCGACTCTGTAGGGCCGCGAGTGGGACATCCAGTCCGATGTTGTGAAGGACATCCTCCGTTGGGAGAAGCGGATGGTGGCGGTTGGGGAGTGCATGTCGCATGTGGCGACCGTTCTCGAGCAGTTGCACGCCGGCTTGGTGGCGCGGAACCTCGTTCTCCGTGATCCTCAGTTGACGGAGCCCCAGCAGGGTGTTGTCCGGGAAGCGGCGGCGCAGGGTCTCTGGCGCCTCCTCCATTTGCCCATGGAGCCCGAGTTCCCCGAGCAGGACAAGGGCCCTGGCGCGCGGGCTTTCCGGCGGGTAGCCAAGGCTGCGGAGGAGTCTCCCCTTGAGCTCGTGCCTACGCTCGCTGTTCTTTTGCGCTGGATGCGCCCCTGGTTTTACGTGCTGAACCGCGTGTAGCGCCCCGCTCCGTCTTGGCGACATTGTTTGCCTTCTTGTTCCCCATGTTAGACTCTCCTACTTACCTTGCCCCTGTTTTGTGGGCCCTTTCTAGTGCCGCATCTTGTATCTCTCTCCTTTAGTGTTGTTGTAACTTGTCGTCCCCTCACGCGCGGCCGAAGGCCGCGCTGTCGAGGGCCGGCCACCGAAGGCCTTTTTTCATAAGGCCTTCAGCCCTAGCACAGAGGCCCTCGTCATCCGGTTGGTGTCTTATCGGGGCATCTGTTTCGGGGATGGTGTTTGCTTCCTCGAAAAGTTCCTCGAATTTGCCGAGTTTGAATTGGTGCAGCCAAGCCTCGATCCGAGCTCATCTGCTTCCAAATACCGGTTCGGGAGGTGGTCGTAGGGTCAATCTCGGCAAAAATTGGAGCACCTTCCAGGCACCCGCACGGTCGGGAAACTTCTTCAGACGGAGGAGTGTCGCCAGCAGGCAAAGGCAATAGCTGTCCAGGATTTGCGGGGGTACGCAGCGGACCAAAAACGGCTGGTCTCCACGCTACATCTGAGACACGTCCTAGTCCCCTGCTGTCCGCCAAATGGCTTCGACGTCTGCCAGGTCGGCCGGCGAGGGCACATTTGTCACCTCGGTGGCAGGCAAAGGCGCATTCGTTGCCTCACTGGCAGGCAAGGGCCCATTCGTCGCCTCGGTGGCCGGCGCTCCTTCACTGTTAGGGGGGTTTTGTAGGTTACCACCCGAGGCCCTTCGTCGCTTGTTGGATGTGTTCCTGTCCTCTCCCTCCTCATCCTCCAGTGAGAATTCCCCTGATTCCTCCTCCTCCCCACCCATAAACCCGGGGTCATTCACAGAGGTGTGAGAGTCAGCTGCCTCCTCATTCGCTGGAGCAGGTTCAGGTTCTGGCCTATCGTGCCTCTCCCGCCAAGGCCCTGCCCGTACTGGGCGTTCGACCCCGCCCACGAACGTCTGTCCCCCGCGGGCTCCGCGTCCTCCGCGCCCACCTCGTCCTGCGCCCCCCCGCTCTCCTCTCCCTCTACCCGTCGGTGGTCTCGTGCTACCCGTGGTTCCGCCGCGCCCGATCGGCATCCACGGCGTTCGTCCTCCTCGAGCCGATCCCCAAGTCACCTCACCTAGGCGTGGCGAACGCCGCGTATTTTGTGGTGCTGGTGCTGCCGATTTTGCTGCTCCCGTCGCTCCTATCATCACTGCTTGTGGCTCCGCGGGTCCTTCAGCTTCATCCACTTCCGCGTCAATCACCGGGCGAGAGGAAGATGGAGACGGACGCACTGGCTCTCATGGCGGCATCCCTTGTCGCAGCCAGCCCAGGAGGGGTCCCGGGGCGCCAGGTCCCAGCCCTGCTCCAGGCCGCCTCGGTGTTGGCTGGGCACGGAGCTTTTTCCCCGTCTTCTCGCGTGCGGCGCAACAAGTGGCGCAAGTCCCAGGCCCCAGTCTTTCACTACCCTCCTGGGCGCGCCCCCGCCTGCCTGCGGCCGCGGCAGCATCAGTCGTTCCGGCGGACGCAGCGGTGGTCGGCGCAGCCTCTTCACTCGGGGGTCCCTCCGGTTGCCTCACTGCCTCCGCCACGACCGCCGCAATCTCCGCCACCCCGAGCGGTGACGGCGAATCTCCCCACACATTTCGGGACTCCTCCCCAGCCTGGCCGTGCTCCTATGGTGGCGGTGACGCATTCGGGTGGTCAGGCGGGGGCGAGGCTAAGCCGTCGCCAGAGGCGACAGCAGTCACAGCAGCAGTCCCTTCCCCCACCATCTCCGGCACGGTTGTCGCCTCCCTCACCGTCGACGTCACCCCAGCCACAACGACCGCCTCCGTCTCAGCCAGTGGCGCCACCTCAGGCTCAGCAGCCTCAGCCTCAGCCGCCCGCGCCCAACTCATTCCCGCTACCTCAGCGTCAGCTGCATCAGCCGCCGACTCCTCGGGTGCTGCAATTTCCTCCCGTCCCCCCAGCTCCTTATGCTCCCGCTCGTGTAGCAGCGACGCCTCTCCACGTCGAGCAGCCCGTAATGCATGTGGGGACGTGCTTGACGTTGCTGTCTTACGTTCTGGACCAGCTCCACATGTGTTTGGCGCGGCAAGGCGTCGAGGTCGGGGGGATGTTACCATCGGAGCAATCGGCAGCGGTGTCTGCGCGACGGAGATGCTGCATTATCTCCCCCTGATCGGCCTTGTCCCTGGCGCCCCTGGTGCAGCGCTCGGGCCCGGGCCTGGGGCGATGGTGCGGCTTGCGGAGTCCGCCCAGCAGCCCCCCTCGGTCTTGTATCAGCCGCCGCATCCGTCCTGCGTTGGATGGATGGGAGGCTATGCTGGATACTCGCCGAGTAGCCGGTGTTTTCCCCTTGCCGGCGGGCCTGGCCTTGGGCTTCCCCATGGCGATGTAGGCACGCCCGGGGGTGTTGTTGTTGCTGTAGGTTACTACCACTTCATGTTGTAATAATTCTTGTCGTCCCTTGTTGTTATAATTCTTGTCGTCCCTTTCCTTGCCACACCTCACGTGCGGGCGATGGCCGCGCTGGCGAGCGGCGGCCGCCTTCGGCGGCCGGCGCGAGGCACCGGTTTTGGAGAGTGAACTGAACTCATTAGTGAAGAATGAGCTCAGAAAGGGCACATCTAAGGACTATATAATAGGAAATTGGGCTGGAAAACGGCTAAGGACTAAGAGCTAGGACTAAGAGGCTGAAAAACGGCTAAGGACTAACCCCCTAGCCGCCCAACCTGGTGCGCGGTTGTAGTTCTCATCTTGGTAAGACACCGGGTCTGTCACGATCACATCACAAAGCCAGACTTCTCCGGTCAGGGGATGGCGGATGGAGACATCCGCTTTGAGGTTTTCAACTAGAAAATAGGCATAGGTCTCCTTGTGAACCGTGAAGCCTGCTTCTGCCCCTATCCTTGCTATCGCATCCCTAAGTGTCAAACTCATATGCTATAGTCTGTGTAGGCTGTAGTGGGGTAGACAATATGGGGTACAACACTTCTAGGTTTTCCTACTTGTACCCACCTGCTTGCTGGTTCATTCATTCCTCATTTCTTCACATGGTATAGAGCAGGTTCCCTAGTGGGAACGCTTCCTTAGGCCCACCACTGAAAAAAATTTTCTGACCGGAGCGACAGTCCCTCCTTCCCGAGGCGCGCCTTGTGGGCTGCCCTTCTGTCGACCTCTCTTAGAGGCCCCTCTCACAACCCCTCGCGCCACCCTCAGTGGCCCTGTCGCCGCCCCTAGCGGCCCCGTAGCCGCCCTTCCGGGCCCTTCGCGGCCCCTCGCGGCCCCGTCGCCGCCCCTAGCGGCCCTGTCGCCGCCCCTAGCGGCCCCGTTGCCGCCTCCCTCCCTACACGGCCCCATTGCCACCCCTACGCGGCCCCGTAGCAGCCCCTAGCGGCCCCGTCGCCGCCCCTACGCGGCCCCGTCGCCGCCCCTAGCGGCCCCGTAGCCGCTCCCCTCCCTACTCGGCCCCGTAGCCGCCCCTACACGGCCCCGTCACCGCCCCTAGCGGCCCCGTCGCCGCCCCTAGCGGCCCCGTTGCCGCCACTACGCGGCCCCGTAGCCGCCCCTACGTGGCCCTGTCGCCGCCCCTAGCGGCCTCGTCGCCGCCCCTAGCGGCCCCGTCGCCGCTGACCTCCCTACGCGGCCCCGTTGCCGCCCCTACGCGGCCCCGTCGCCGCCCCTACGCGGCCCCGTCGCCGCCCCTAGCGGCCCCGTAACCGCTCCCCTCCCTACGCGGCCCCGTCGCCGCCCCTACGCGGCCAAGTCACCGCCCCTACGCGGCCCCGTCGCCGCCCCTAGCGGCCCCGTCGCCGCCCCTAGCGGCCCCGTCGCCGCTAGCCTCCCTACGCGGCCCCGTTGCCGCCCCTACGCGGCCCCGTCGCCGCCCCTACGGGGCCCCGTCGCCGCTCCTAGCGGCCCCGTCGCCGCTCCCTTCCCTACGCGGCCCCATCGCCGCCCCTACGGGGCCTCGTAGCCGCCCCTACGCGGCCCCGTCGCCGCCCCTAGCGGCCCCGTCGCCGCTCCCCTTCCTACGCGGCCCCGTCGCCGTCCCTAGCGGCCCCATCGCCGCCCCTACCCGGCCCCGTCGCCGCCCCTAGCGAGCAGCCGAGCCGCCGAGCCGCCCAGCAGCAGCAGCCGCCCCTGGAGGAGCCGCCACTGCAGCAGCCGCCACTGCAGCAGCCGCCCCTGGAGCAGCCACCACTGCAGCAGCCGCCCCTGGAGCAGCCGCCACTGCAGCAGCCGCCCCTGGAGCAGCCGCCGCTACAGCAGCCGCCCCTGGAGCAGCCGCCACTGCAGCAGCCGCCCCTGGAGCAGCCGCCACTGCAGCAGCCGCCCCTGGAGCAGCCGCCACTGTAGCAGCCGCCCCTGAAGCAGCCGCCACTGCAGCAGCCGCCCCTGGAGCAGCCGCCAGTGCAGCAGCCGCCCCTGGAGCAGCCGCCAGTGCAGCAGCCGCCCCTGGAGCAGCCGCCACTGCAGCAGCCGCCCCTGGAGCAGCCGCCACTGCAGCAATCGCCCCTGGAGCAGCCGCCAGTGCAGCAGCCGCCCCTGGAGCAGCCGCCACTGCTGCTGCCGCGGAGCTCTCGCTCTACAGTGGTAGCGGCATCGCCGTTGCCGCCGTCGTACGCCTGCCCTTCTCGCCACTGCTGAGCACTGCCCTGCCCGTACTGCTGTTACTGCTGCTCTTACTGCTGCTGCTCTTTCTACTGCTACAGCTGCTCCTGGCGTGGCCAGATGCAGCTCCAGCGTCCCCCGCGTGAGTCCCTCATCCCCCAACAGCTTCGTGAGTGGTACGCTAGTTGGGGTTGTCGGGGTGGCCGTAGTGGGAGTCGTCCTGGGGTGAGTCGTTCCTCAGCTGCTTGTAGTGGCCAGGTGCAGCTGCAGCGTCGCCCGCGTGAGTCCCTCACCCCCCAACAGCTTCGTGAGTGGTACGCTAGTTGGGGTTGTCGGGGTGGCCGTAGTGGGAGTCGTCCTGGAGTGAGTGGTTTGGCAGCTACTTGTAGTGGCCAGGTGCAGCCTCAGCGTCGTCCGCGAGTGGTCCTCTCGCCCCAGCAGCTTCGTGAGTGGTACGCGCAGCGTGACGGGTCACGGGGTATTGCTCGCTGTCCGTACGTCATTTGCACTGATGCTCGGACTGGTCAGCCTTGCGGGACGTTCGGTCACGCAACGTCCCACTGCTTCGCCCGTCTGAGCGAAGCCTGGCGTACGGAGTTTGGCGACGCGGCTGAGCTCCCCGAATGGGTGGAGCTGCTTCGGCTGCGTGTCGATATCTATACTCTTGACTATGATGATATCCTCACTGCCATGTATGCATTGCCTACTAGTGATGAGGGTGACTGTTACCTGTGTGTTCCGCCTGACCCGGGCATTGAGGCTGCTGCTCTAGGTGCTGGTGAGGCTGCTGCTCTAGGTGCTAGTGCGTCTGCTGCCCCAGGTGCTGGTGAGTCTGCTCTCTCAGGTACTACGTCGGCTCAGGCCTTACACACCTTCACCCTTGACTCGGGTGCTTCCCGCTCCTTCTTTCGAGACCGCACCACACTTACGCCGCTTAGTCGGCCGGTTGCGGTCTCCCTGGCGGACCCCTCTGGGGGTCCTGTCCTTGCTAGCTTCTCCACTGTCTTACCGTGCCCGGCAGCCCCCTCTGGCACCCTGTCTCGTCTCTACCTCCCCTCGTTCTCTACGAACTTGGTGAGTGGAGTTGATCTACAGGATATGGGGGTTGACCAGTTCACTCCTGCGAGTCAGCGGGTGACCCACTGCACGTGTGCTCGGACACGCCGACACTTGGCCACGTTCACGCGTCGGCCGGGGTCGAGCTTGTACACACTTACTACTGAGTCTCCTCCGGCTACTGAGCCTAGTCAGGTAGCTGCGTCGAGTCAGGTGTTTACTGCAGCGTCCAGGTCTGGTCCTGAGTCTGCTCCCTGCTCGTGTCGTCTCCTGTCCCACCAGACTCTCCTTTGGCACCACCGCCTTGGTCACCCCTCCCTGCCTCGTCTCCGAGGCATGGCCTCCCGTGTCCTTGTCTCTGGTCTCCCCCGGTCTCTCCCTCCCCTACCTCCGGGGCTTGCCCCTACCTGCGTCCCCTGCGTTGAGGGGCGACAGCGCGCCGCCCCTCACTCCTCCGAGTTTCCCTCGACAGAGGCTCCTCTGCAGACTCTTCACATGGACGTGTGGGGCCCCGCCCGCGTCCGTGGCCAGGGGCACGAGCGTTACATCCTGTTGGTGGTTGACGACTACTCGCGTTACACCACAGTCTTCCCCTTGCGCAGCAAGGGTGACGTCACTGAGGTGTTGATCGACTAGATCCGCGCAGCTCGTCTCCAGCTCAGAGAGAGTTTCGGCTCGGACTTTCCTGTTCTGCGTCTGCACTCTGACAGAGGCGAGGAGTTTTCCTCTGCCCGTCTGGGAGCCTTTTGTCGTGCACAGGGCATCCGCCAGACCTTTACGCTTTCGGCCTCTCCACAGAAAAATGGGATTCCTGAGCGCCGCATTGGCATGGTCATGGACGTCGCTCGTACGTCCATGGTCCATGCGGCTGCCCCCCATTTTCTGTGGCCGTTTGCGGTTCAGTACGCAGCGCATCAGCTCAACCTTCAGCCCAGGGTCTCCTTGCTAGAGACCTCTCCCACCTTGAGGTGGACCGGGAAGGTTGGCGATGCGTCTGCGTTTCGGGTCTGGGGATCTCGGGCGTTTGTCCGCGACTTGTCTGCGGACAAGCTGTCCCCCCGTGCTGTTCCTTGCGTCTTCCTTGGCTTCCCCCCTGACAAGCCTGGGTGGCAGTTTTACCACCCCACTTTGCGCCGTGTTCTGTCCTCCCAGGACGTCTACCGTCTCTTCCCCTACCGCACTGCTCCCCTCCCCCCGCCGCCACTCTTTCTTGCGCCAGGTCCTCCCCCGGTAGACCCCCTCCCCCCTCAGGGTCCTGCCCCGTCAGGTGTGTCCCAGGTAGACGCAATCGAGCTTGTCGAGGTTGCTGTTGACTCTGGTGCTGCTAGAGGTGCTGAGCCTGCGGGTGCCGGGTCTGGGGGTGTGGAGCCTGGGGTGCTAAGCCTGGGGGTGCTGATCCTGGGGGTGCTGAGCGTGGGGGTGCTGAGTCAGGGGGTGCTGAGCCTGGGGGTGCTGAGCCTGGGGGTGCGGAGCCTGGGGGTGCTGGGTCTGCTCGTGTGGCCTCTCGCGGTGATTCGTCGAGGCGGGAGCCACTCTCTCCGCAGGAGCTGCGCGAGGGGTTTTCCCGGCGATGGAGCCGTGCACCTGGAGCTGGAGGTACTACTGTTGCTGCTGGTCCCAGAGGTGCTCGTACTGGCGGTATTGGAGCTGCTGGGGCTGGGAATGCTGCTGG